GTGCCTGAAGTTAATAAATGGATAGAGACACGCAACATATTAATAGGCCAAACTAAAAACCCCTATGATTTTAGGCGATCAGTTGGGGGCTCTTCAGGTGGAGAAGCATCGTTAATCAGTGCATGTTGTACAGCGTTCGGTTTGGGCACAGACATCGGCGGCAGCATTCGTATACCTGCTTTCAACTGTGGGATTTTCGGGCATAAACCCAGCGAAGGCGTAGTCAACATGCGAGGTTGTACTTTCCGCAGTGGGGATGAGAAAAAACACAATGGTTAGCGCTGGACCAATGAGTCGGCATGCTGATGATTTGATACCAATTTTAAAAGTACTCATTGAGCCAAAATTTAAAAAGCAACTGCGTTTAGATGAAGCAGTTAATCTGAAAAACTTGCGTTACTTTTATATACCAAGTAATAATATGATGCATTGTAATACAGTTGGTTCCGAGGAGCAAATGCTCATGTTCAAGATTTGTAATCATTTTTTCCAACTTATCGGGTGCGGAAGTAAAATTGGCTAGCTTACCGCATCTCGAATTATCGGGAAAAATGTGGCGTTACTGGATGACGCAGGAAAAAACCAACTTTAACAAATTATTAGGCAACGGTGCAACTTTAAACCCCTTTATTGAACTATTCAAGAAATTATTAGGGCGTAGTGACTTCACAATGGCTGCAATTTACTCATTGATTGATTCTTTGCTACCCGAGGAGAAGGAACAACAAATTCGCGAGGCAACTCGAAATTGCAAGAAAGCCCTGGATGAACTTCTGGGTGACGATGGTGTATTGTTTTTCCATAGTTCGCCGCGCACTGCCCCCCTACCATTACTATCCCTTAGTTAAATTCACTGATTTTAGCTACTTTAGTATCTTCAATGTTCTCCGCGTGCCAGTAACACAAGTGCCGATGGGCTTGAATAACAAGGGAATGCCTATGGGTGTACAAGTTGTGGCATCGGAAATGAATGATAGACTATGCCTACACGTCGCCAAAGAGTTGGAACGAACTTTTGGGGGATGGGTACCTCCACATAGAGAACAATAAAATATAGTATGAAATACTCTTTCTTAATTTTAATTTTATATTAATGTAATGTTATGGAGATTGGAATGGAATAAGGTGGCGGTTTTGAACTTGAATATTCATATATGTACTTGCAATGGTATTAAATCTAAAAAAAAAACATGTATTTTTTATTTTTATTTTTTTAAATAATGTCAAAAGACGTTGAACTTTTTAGATCCTATTTTCCAGGTTAAAATTACTATTTAAAGTCGTTATAGTAGACTTTGTGGCAAGCGCAAAACCACAGCGCCAAGTTCCCCTATACCCAAAGGCAAAAAGCATAGAAGCACTACTCCTCCCCAGCCTGACGAAGCGTCTCAAGCTAGACGAACACCAGCATGGATTCCGGAAAATGCAAAGCA